CTGGTGGAACCACACAAAAGCGAAGAAATCATGCCTATCCATTCGCAATGGTCAAAGAAAAGAGTCTGTGTGTGTCCGTGTGCACATGTGTCTGTACGGGATGGGATGTGATGTGAACCCCTGCTGCTGGATAACCCCACTGTGTGAGATCTGACAGCTCCCACTGCTGTCTCTATGACAGGATGAAAGAGTGTCTATGTGTGTGTGACTCAGATAGTGAAAAGAAGGAGGAAGTGGCCAGAAAGAAAGAGAGAAACCAAAGAAAAAAAAATAAACACATTCATACAAGTAAATGTGTCTTTGAAAGCTTATCTGGTTGAGCATGAAAAACTAAGACATCCCTTTTGAAACTCACAACAAGCAACCACAGGCCAGTCGGTATCTGCTTGGCTGACCATTTTAAAGTGGAAGCGAATCTAAGATTTCAAACTCATCAAACGCTTTTTAATGTAATTATGCCCTCAGCGCCGTCTTCAGACAAGGATTAGCGGCGTAGGAACTATCTGACTTTTTTCTCGAGGGGGTAAAGACGGCTCACTTTCAGCTAACGTTCTAAATTTTTAAAGTGAGTAAAATAAATACACATTGAGCCCGCACTTCGAGTTAGCCGGTGTACATTTCTGTCCCACCTTTACGTCAAACAAATACAACATATTGACAAATGCACCGATAAAGAGAAGATGTTGCAGCAGTTTGCTTTGTTGTTTGAGTCGGAGCTGTCCGAGCACATAAACCCTGCCCGCGAACACACAATTTAACCGTGACACTTGTGAGGTGGTTCTTTGGTGTGTTTGCAGCGTTTCCAAGCCATTTTCCCACCACTCCATCACACGGCAGGTAAAGCGCACATGAAGCATACTTATCAACGCTGAATGGAATTGCACGTCAGTTCTTAAGTGAAGTTAAGGTCTTAGGCACTTATGAGGATTTCTAAGAGCGTCTCCATTACTGCAGGCTTCAGGAACATGAAGGCGATTTTAAAGTTCCTCTGAAGTTTTTGATTAAACCCCTAAAAACTCATCTCTGTGTATCAAAGGTACATATTTTCAAGGTTGTTTTTTTTTGTGAGAATAATTCCTTCCTGCCTTAAAATGGCTCCTATATAACTCTATAGCCTTGCTTTCTGTGGAAAATGTCTAGATCTATGAAGTCCTGCCTCTCTCTCTCTCTCTCCGTGTACTTAATCCGTTTTTAAAATGATCATCGCTACACTGCAGTTTAAGGGTGAAAATGCTCAGTGATAAAGCTGACTATTTCACTAGTGATGTGCTTCTACATACAAAAAACACCACATGGACATGTTAACAAGGCAAAATATAAATACAGTCAAATCAGAAGTTTGCATACACTGTATAAAAAGACACACAACCTTTGTTTTTTTCACTATCTGACATTAAATGTGACTAAACTCTTCCTGTTTAAGGTCAGTTTAGGTCCAGCAAACTATTGTGGGAAGCTTGTGGAAGGAAACCCAAAACATTTGACCCAAGTCATATAGTTTAAAGGCAATGCTACCAAATACTAAGGAAATGTATGTAAACTTCTGACTTTGAAGAAAGTAATAAAAAAATCTCTAAAACATCGTCTCTCTCATTATTCTGGCATTTAGGAAATAGAAATAATTTTAGTAACAATAACTGACCTAAAACTGGAAAAGTTTTGTCTAACTGAATGTCAGATAGTGAGAAACAAAAGGTTATGTGTTCTTTTATACAGCGTAAACTTCTGTTTTTAACTGTAAACAGTGCTTAACAAACCCTGTGTGAGGTTTATGCAACAGCTGTCCTAAATTGACAGCATTGACATTTACCAAAAATATTTTTTTGTTTCTATAATGGTTAATACACCAGTATGTCAAAGCTATTTAACCAAAATGATATTTTTAATGCTAAAATGTCATTATTATTGTCATCCATGACGTTAAGTTTACTGTTTTACAAGAAAACTGGGGAAAAAAAAAAGTAAAACACATAATTGTTTCTTGATTAAGATGCCAAATTATAGTTATTTACTTGCATTCCTGAACAGAAAAATTACTTTTAGTGGTTGATTGGTATGCTTGATTAGTTCCTGATTTCTCAGAGAAGCCCAGTGAGCCGCTCGAATGTGGGTATAAAAAGTGAATTCAGTTTGAAATTCCTCATTCATGTTCAAAATGGTAAAACGTCGAGAGCTGAGAGCTGAGTGTGCATTAAAGCACTTCAAGATGATGGATGGTCTATATATATGTGTATATAGACAGTGCTTAACAAATTAGACCTGTGGAAATGCTAAACACTGTATATGCATTTTAAACTAACGGGTTCTTTGAAACCTTCATATGTAACTTATAAAGAAAAGTTACATTTTTTATTTTTAAATGACTGCACAATACATTTGTTTTGGATGCAAGTTCCCATGACAAAATAAAGGTCTATCATGAAGGACATTTTGAAGCATCACATGCAGCATGGATGGGTAAACTAATTAAGTTAACTCCTTATGTTTGCATTTATTCATTTGGCAGATGCCTCTGTCCAAACTCATAAACAAGTGAAGCACACACCACCAAGCCTCAGTCAATCAGGGACTGAACTGAACTCTCAGCTCCAGGTTCCATCTGACACCTGCAGGCTGCAGGAACATGGATGTATTTGTGAATGTATAGTACAGTGTCTTCTAGTTTGGCATGTTGGTTTGTCTGTCTATCATATTGTTCCATTGTGTAGTTTTGCACACTCTTTCTAAGATACTCCAGGCTCAGCTTTGACAGTAACACACCTCAGACACCAGCCTTCTAGCTATCATAACTAACCACCAAGTTTCATCTGCACAAATCCTTAAAGTTCGTCTGTGTATTTTTTTCCAAATCAGTGGGCACATTGGCTGTAAGTGATATGACTTAGTAATGTCAGTAATAAAGCTATAAAGTTTGCTAATGTCCAACATAAGCTGCGTTTTTGTACCTGATGCAAGCAGCAGCACTCCTGAGTGGAGGGACACACAGAGGATGTGTTTTATTGTTACTACTTCTGTTACATTGTCTTGCCTTAAGTGACACTCATCTTTTTGGGATAATGGACAATAAATGTGAAAACTCCCACAAGCGGAAAGACTGGTGAACGGGTAATTGAAGCTCATTCAGGTTGGAGCTGCATGCAGGGACAGTTCTAGAAAGTCTTATTTTACATCTGACTTCTTATATGTGCTGCAATTTGAAGCTAAACCGTAATGCGGAAATATCCCCATTATATTCCAGCAAATGCATGAAGATTTCCTAAAATAAAGAGTTTCTTACAAACCCTCTCCAGAATAATTTTTTGGCAGAGCCTATGTATTCTCAGCGTGACAGCGAGCTGCAGGAAGAACAGTGATGTGGGCTGAAAACGGCTACATCCGACTCTCCTGAGACAGCTGTAATTGCAGCCTGCTACCTGCCTGGCACACATCTAGATGCTGAATATTGAGATAGCACCTACAAAGTGTCACGATTGCTCATGTAACATAGCGCTGTTTTGCAATGAGGTACACTGTGCAACACAGAACTCTATTGTAAGTGATGGCTTGTGTTTTGGATGAACTGCTGCAGTTTCAGCTGCAGAGCAAACCCTGCAGAATTAGTGGGAAGTAATGTTGAAAGCAAAGGGTTTATGATCATGAAAAACAAATTTAAGGGGCTAGTGGGAGACAGAATAAGCTTAGCCCTTGTTTTTGTTTGAACCCTTCTTTCCAAGGAGCTCAATATGAAAAGTATATTTTCACATTACATCACCAGAAGACGAGAGAAGTTCGTATATCCTCGTTTTTGGATACGGGCCAAGAAAATGGACAATTGCTCATTCTTAATGTGGAAAGCCGTGTCATATCTTCTTTAGTAAAAAGCTGTTTACTTTGAAGTTGGCTCGGCTCGTACACTGCAACATCTTAGTGATGCATGACTGTTCTCCTTTGCAGCCTGTGGATGACTCATGCTTCCGAGTGAATACGAGGATATACAGCTGAGGGCGATGTTTGTGTCTCGAAACACATCAAATGAAAAAAAAATCAGACAGACATTTTTCTCTCCTCTGTGTTACACTAAATGCCCCTCGCTTGAACACTCAGATGTGTTTTACATTTCGTATCTTTGCAGGCAGGAATTTATTTTTAAAATCCTGCTCGACATCACATTCACTTTTCAACCACTAAATCCTACGCTAAATCCTGCTGATTTAAATAAGACGGTTAGCAGCTCCAGCTGAATGATTACATTTCAAGGAGGTGGAGCGGATCATCCACTAATCACTAATTTGTCAGTCTGATCTCCGGTGCCAACCTGAAGTGCCCTTGGGCAACACGCTGAACCCCAAATCTGGTGGGATTGGCATGTGAATGGGTGCATGAGGCAAAACTGTAAAGCCCTTTAGACAGAAGTACGATATGAAAGGAGTCAGTCACTTTGCAAATTAAATAAGTGATGATTTACTATTACGCTCATATAACTCTCAGGCAGCTGGTAACTTAAAATCTCGCCAGAGGAGATGAGGTGAATGTAGATAGAGCCCTGCAAGTCTACTTTATTAGTAACTTGTTGCATTTCTGGAGGAAATGCATTTTGCACCCACTTCATCAGGTACAACTTAGTATAACAAGTGTTATAACCAACCCATTCTCCACACATGGAGGTAATGCTTTTTTGTTTTGAATTTAATCAGTTGAATTCACACTGAAAGGTGCTTCTAATATTTCTGCCACCACTATTTTAAATCAGAGAGGCTAGAATTTAAAATTAATCAAATTACAGCTACCGCAATGATCATAAAGTTGAATCAATGTTTGATTAAAACAGTTTAAACCAAACCTGAACATTATAATCATGATGAAGCCACCATGGGTTGTATTAACTGCATTAGTTTGAACTCTGTGCATAATGTCGAAGCAAACGGGGGTAAATCTCATGTATTTTGGCTAAAGTTGCATATAACAGAACATTGCATTCTCTTGAAACCAACTGATAAATGAGTGAAAGACACACAAAAAAAAACTTTTAACAACTTTTACTTTAGGAAAAATCGGAACAGTCGCGGTGTCGACAAAACTTCCAAATTCGGTGGGAGATGAGGATAATCCGAAAAAAATACTTACACAAAAACTAATCAAAATCACCCATTTTCCTCGCTCCATTTTCCATGTCATGTTTGGTCAGGACAATAATCATCTGCTTTAACTCCAGCAGCCTTTCTAATCCACTCTGTCACACTGCTACACTGGAGCCAAGCTAGATAACTTTTAAAATGTTCACTGAGAAATATCTTCTCTCTAATCCTCCCCATAGGCACTGTGCATCAGTAATATTTTTGTTAAAAAAAAAAAAAGAGCATGCAGTAGCTCAAATTGACTCAGGCACAGCCATGCTCACACTGAAATCAGGGGTTTAAAAAGTGAACTCCAGTAAAAAGCCAAAATATTCCTCAAGTGACTTCTCTATTAAATGTGACTTTGCATCTGTAGAAAATACAGCTAAGAGCCTCCATGGTTATGCAACAAGTCAACCCAGAAATACCGTTTGAACCAAAGGGGTAAAACGTTCAGCAGCAGCAGGTCAGCATGCTGGAGAGGACAGCAGCTCCAGCAGTCATTGCACCGGGCCTCCACCCGCTCCCCACGCCGACTCTCAGTCCTTGTACTCGGTGTACTTCTTGGCCGAGCCGTGCACCTTGCTGGCGGGGTACTTGAGTCTGTTTAGCGCCATTTTCCGGAGCACCGCCTGAGGAAGGTCGACGCGGCACTTCTCGGCGAGCTCCACCAGGTAGATCAACACGTCGCTCAGCTCGTGGGCCAGCTGCTCCCGCTCGGACTCGGTCCAGTCCGGCAGGCCGTCGGCCACCTCCCCCCGCCACTGGAAGAGCTCCGCCACCTCGCCCACCTCCCCGACCATGGCCAGGAGCAGGTTGCGGGGCTGGTGAAACTGGTTCCAGTCCCGCTCGTCCGTGAACTCGGCCTGCATCCGTCGGATATCCTCGACGGTGGGTTCGGAGCTGAAGGTGAACCTCTGCGGCCGGACTGCGGCTCCATTCTGGGACGAAGCGTCGGTTGCTGCCCCGTTCACAGCAGAGTGTGACTTAGCAAGAACTTCGCTCCTGCCATTTGAGGAAACTGCCGACATGTCGTCTTTTACTCCGCAGGCTTCTTCTCCGTTTGTTGCCATCATGTTTGTGTTTAGCGGTTCCGTGTAAAAACAAGTTTTAAGGCTTGTAAACAACCGGCTCGTCCAGCACCATGTGTAGAAGTCCCGCCAGTCGTCCAAACGGAAACGACGTACCTTAAGGCGGAAACAGGAAGCGTATTAGGACTGGGATTTGTAGTTCTAGACTGTGAGCTAGCCCCGTATTCTGTCATATTATATGTCATTTTAAAAAACTACAACTCCCGGGTTCACTAAAACCTTAAGGACAACATGGCTGCCTCCTGTGTTGCAGCAAGTGAGCTGCTACAAAATATGAAACTAATATCAGGATTTTATCCAAAGGCTTCATGTGTAATCAGGAGAATAAGCACAACAAACGCACGATGCGACGGTCAAGCCCAGCCGAGAGCGAAAAGGTAAGAGTGGCTGCGAAAATGTCATTTTTTGTGTTTGCTTTGTTGACCTGACTTGCTAACCTGTGTGTACTGTAGTGTGTGTGTGTGTGTGTGTTTGTGTGTTGCTGAGCTCATCTGTCACCGCATTAAGCGAAGTTAAAGTAGGAAAACTGATTTAACTTTGCTTTCACTACCACTAGAGGAACTACAGAGGTGTCGACAAATGACTGTAAATGCACCAGTACTAGCAATGACATCACAGCACTATTCAATATTAGCAGTCTGACTGAACAATTAATTGAAATATTACCCAAAATTAGGCTATTCTCCAGACATAAACGTGTTTATTTGGTACTGAGCACAGCAAAAATGACACCACCGATTTAAAAACGAAAAGAAATCAAAGAACTACCATCCAACTGAAATCATGGTTCATGTATAATTACAGGATCTACCAATATGCCTTTAATAAAAACAAACAACAAACAAAACATTGTTTAGCCCTGTATAAAACTAATACAATCAATTCAAGTCATGAGCTGTATACTTTGTATTTACTTCCACTTAGTAACAAACTGTTTATATGACAAAAGTAGCACATTTGGGTTATTTATCTTGTGTGACTACAAAGTTTTTGCAGTCTCATTACTCTGTTGACATCACCTGAATGCAGCACTGCCACCCCTGAAATCTTGTTGCCTCCCTGCCGCAGTCACCCCAGTTTTGATCGGTCAAATTCATTCACTTAAACTTCAATGTCCAAGCCTCAGTGAATGCAATTACGGAGGGAAAATTAATGACTGCAACAGCTTTGCATATAGGAGCAGCCAGTTGGCTGTGCAGCCGTCCATAAATGTCACGGAGTGTAAAAGACACAGTTTATGACTTTAGTTGAAGGAGGCACACACACCGACCTCAAACTGTTTACTGCTTCCAGCTGTTGTAGGATATTTTCCTCTGAGTTTATGAAATACCTGCCGCATCAGATAGCAGCAGGATCCATATGAGCACCAAAGCAAGAGAGTTGCTCACATTTACTGCCGTAATTTCATTAATTAATTAAAAATATTCATTGTTAATTTGTGGAGAAAAGATCAGTCAGAATGTAACAGTGATTAACACTTCCTGCAGGTGAGCTGTCACACAGTTCTCACCACTGAATCGTGAGCGGCATCACAGTTGCATATTATTTTACTATTAAAGTTTGATCATGAAGTCTAAATCTTTTTCTGTCATATTAAGTTTTGTTTTGTTTTGTAGCAATTTTGCTGTGTCACAGCAGGATAGCTGTTTACTAAATTTCTGAAAGAAAAGTGTGAGTAAACGAAACTAACAAAAGTTAGAAAAGAGCTAAAGAACTGTTGCTGTTGCTATGTTAACTGCAATTGCACACTGATGTACAATATCAAAAGTTTGCTATGTTACTGTAAATTGGCCTTGTTTTTATTTTTTATTTTTCCAGTGATAACTGCATCAATGCTAAAAAGTCCCCATTAGCTCAAAAAACATTTTTTCTACATACATCACCGTTATAAAATAGATGACTGTAAAACTGAATAATTTACTCTTTCTGTGATAATCTGTAAAAGTTCCCCCAGTTCTTTTAACCGAGGCAGTGCTAAATGCTACACCTGACACACCCATTCCACCAAGATCATTACATTTTAAGGTGAAGATACCTTAAAGGTTACATTTAGGCAGAGGTTAGAGAACCGTAATGTGATTATAAGGAGGTGTGTCCAACTCGTGACCTCTGGGACTGTAAAGCCAACATGGGAGTGCCAAAAACTGCAGTTCTTGGAATGTACACTTGAGGCCTTGAGCCTCGCTTCAAAAGTGAGTCAATCTCCAGAAACCCCCCCCATGTTAAAATGCATTACGTTACAGCAGAGAAATGGTTTGATCTTAACCAGTTTCCCGTTTCATGCCTGGTGTATGGGCAGTGAATTTATGTTTAGGTTGTGTCAGGATTTAAAGTTATGTATGATTCGGGGCGTGGCTGCTTTGACTGACAGGTGGATGCCGTCACAGGACAGTCCATGGTCCACCTCAGCTCCACTTCAGCTCTTTGCTGATTTTGGGATTGGTCAGAGGTTCAGGGGAGTCAGTCACTGCCAAGATGGTGACAGCTGCAGCCACCACACCGAGCTAAGAAACCACTGTTTAGGAAAGCTGTGAGTGATATCACAGAGTGTTCGTCCATGTTTACAGACAGTCAGTGGGTGTGTTATGTCGTGAAAATGGTTTGTTGTGTTTTCTGTCAGACTGCGGTTTACTCTCCTCACACAAGCGACACCAAAAAACCTGGAAGCTAGACTTGTTTGGTTCATGCACCATTCAAGAAATGTTCATTCTAGTCAGTGGGCGTTGTCTTTCAGTCTGGTATCCAGTTTTTCTTCATACATCAAGCTTGTGTACTTTCATAAAGTTGGGGAACCTGGAACTGACCCACTTTTTTTTTATGAAAAAAAAAAAAAAATCCAAGCAAAAAGGAAATTGGTGCAGCGGAGGTTACAGCTGAATGAGCTTTAGTCCCTAATACTGATTGAGTTTCAAAATACTAAAAAAACTGGACTCACACTCCCCATAATGCAACTCAGTGTCATCTCTTTTCAAGATATCTGTCTCCACTTTTAAAAACTTAATTTTTAGTCTGTAAGCCCAGTTTCTGGCTTGGAGTGCCAATAGCCTTATATAATCCCCAAAAACCCAGTTTTCAGCATGAGCTAGTAAAGCACAATATAATCTGATTCAATAAGGGCTTTAAAGGTGGATGCTGCCTTAGAAGGAGTTCCAGTGTCCAACTGTAGTTTTAATACTGTGCCTAAATTCTGCATACTTTTGCTTAATCACATTATCACACAGCAAACAAGAAGTAATATTATTCCAGCGTTGGAGTTCAGTGTACACACAGAGAGAGAGGGAGGAACAGCTAATTAGACGCAGGCCCCTAAGCACGTTAATCAGGCCACGCTGGAAATGACATTGATTGACAGATGTTTGACGACATCACATGACTTTTTTCAGGTTCTGTTTAAAAATATCTTTTTATAGAATGAATACTTCTGGAGTCGTCTCACCAAATTTGCATTTCATTCAGTTTTATTTTCTGCAGCTGTGAATAGTACCTCTACTTCCTTTGTACACTGCGATGCATTCAAGTCTTTTTTGTATGCATACTTACTTTTTTTCCACTGTGTTTATTTTTGTCACTTTCCAGTGTGAACACACTACAAACCTATAACCTGCTTAGAATTAGAGTGTTGTGTACACAGACTTTTTTTAATGGATTGTTGTAAGGCAGACAAAAAAAAAGTATTTTTCTTTGTCAGGGTACACAGTTACTTTTTCTGGCTGATTTCGCTATCCTCAGGCGCCTGTATGGTAGAATTTTCTTTCATGTGCTTGTCTCTCTGCCATGTGCCTCAGTGCTCCACAGCAGCTGGTTGGAGTGGTGGGTTTGGAAATCCATGCCCAGATTAACTCCAGCACCAAGCTGTTTTCTGGCTCTTCGGTTCGCTTCTCAGCTCCTCCAAACTCTCTGGTGTCGCTCTTTGATGCGTCCTTACCTGGAACATTACCCGTGAGTAATGTTTAACTTAATTAAAAAACATACCCTGTTGTTTTCTTTTTTATTCCCTGCTTGTCAAACCACCATGTCCCCGTCTCTACGTGTCCCCAGGTCCTGAACAAGCGCTGTGTCGAAGCAGCAGTGATGACAGGACTGGCTCTCAACTGCACCATAAATAGGAAGTCACTTTTTGACAGGAAACACTACTTTTACGCAGACCTCCCGGTGAGTTTTCTTCTCCCTGTTCTCAATTGTCACTTTCTGTCCAGCATCTAGTGTTCAGACGTTACAGTAAGAGAGTGAAAGCCCAGGAGTTAGGGGTTACTCTGTCTGACAAACTGCAGTAGAGAGTCCTGCGCTTCATGCTCCATCCTTGTTTTTAAGTTTTATATGAGCTGTCCTGATCTGCCTCAGCTTCTCCATCGCAGTGCTCCCAGTAAACTCTCCCAGCCATGAGCTGCAATTTAACTTTAAGCAAGTCTTGCTGAAGCAGCAAAAATGCTATTTGCCGCACGTACAGAGAAATAACACCGAAAATGACCGGTGCTTTTTACTTACCAGCTCATTTCCTTCAGCGCACTTCCAATTTTATATTATCTACAGGTCATTTCCTTCTCTATGCCTTTGCTGATAATTTGGAGGTTGCTTTCTTTTATTCACATAATTTCAACTGTTGTAAAAACCCTAGATGGAGTTGTCGAACTGAACAGTGCTGCTTGTAGACAAAACTTTGATTATTAACTCTCCGTGCTTATAATATACTGTGGAGATTAAATAGTGAATTAAACTGAACATTTTTGTAAGCAGAGATCACGACAAGACGCTGATCTCCAGTAGTTACCAGTAATGGACTTCATTTAGAGCACAGTCATTTTCTGAAAGTAGGAGTTGGTGTTTTCTAATGGTGGCTATCTCAGGCAGTAAACTCTTTTAAAGCAACATAATTAACTCTTTTTGGCCTCTTGGGAACAAAAAACCCTCTAAAGCAACACTATACACAGCATTATCCATATATACTGTATATATACTTTGTTTTCCAAGGGGGAGATGGTCTTTTCTGGGATATGCACAGCCACAGCACCCATGAAGCTGACGGGTTAAAGGTCAACAGAGCCACATGCAGTTGATATGTCAGCATGCGGCAAACAGTGGCCTG